GTATATGCGTAATAATTCCACAGAACAGAACGGTAAAAAAAAATTCAACTTCACATTATCGATCAAAGTTTCGAGCACAACGCTATGGGGATAAGTTACCAAAAAAAGTTGGAAAGTCTTAAAGAGGAAAAGGTGGTGTACACTTCATGCAAGCGTGGTGTTTATATCAAAGGAGGACCGGCCGGCAAACTCATGTGATGTGAACCCCCTAGAGACTATCTGGATTATCGTAGACGAGACAACATACAAAGATCTAGCCCCCAAAACTGGACGAGCTAAGACAGTGACCACGCCTGGACGAATGTGACTTTGGACACGCTTTGGGAGCTCGTACATTCTATACCTCACCGCTTAGAAAATGTCAGAAAACATACAGGAAGACATTCTGGTTACTAATATTTTAGTTATTCAATGTTAAATAAATAATTAATAACATACTAAATTTTACAAGAGGTTTTTTTTAATAATAAGTGAAATTTAAGCGAATAAAAAATCGCAACGAACTTTTGAAACACCCTGTATATTTTCAACAGTATTAGAGCTGCTTCAAACAGTTTACAGAGAAAAGACAGAACTACAACTCGTAGTATTCATAGATGAGAAACTTTCCCGCACTATGGATCGCAAGATCGTGATCACTGTTCCTCGGCAGCACAAAAATTTCCTCGTGGCCGAGGCTAAAAACGCTAAGAGCCACATTAGTAGATGCTTAGTTACTCTACTCCTTGACGTTGTATATTATTGTTATATATTTGACACGAATTCCCTGAACATACGTTTTGAAATGGGATGTTTAAAATTTGCTTGATGCTCTTTAGTGGAGGCGTGTGTGGCGGAGTGGTTAACTCCTCGAACACAGGGGTTCAAGCCTCGCCAGTCGCGTTGTTTCCTTAGACAAGGAACTTCACTATCCATTTTTTCTCTGTTCATCCAGGTGTATAAATGGGTACCGGCGACATACAGCTAGGGTATAACCCTGAGATGGAATAGCATCCCGTCCAGAGGGGAGAAGCAATACTTCTAAACGTGCTTCATGCTGAGGAAACCGGAATAACCTCCAGCCGTTTGGACCTTTGGCTCGTGCGCGCGTTAACCTTACGTTACCTTTAGTGGTCGCTGCATGATAAATTAACGAAGGGAAATTTTATCAGGATTCAATGTTAGATATCACAAAGATTCATTTATTAATTGTCTTAATTTACACTGCATTTTCAACGTCTAAAATAGTGATCAAAAGAAACATTTTCCTTTCATGAATTCATTGTAAGAACTTAAAAAAAAAAAGCGATAAATTATTTCATCGCAAACATGGACTTATCTTATTTGCGGTATTCAACATTCTGGATACCTGTGTGTATTTATGTGAATACTTTACGCTTCCTCGGGAATCGATATAAAAATACCTTTCGTCGTGATCTGAATTTTGAGGAAATTACTTATCTATCCTCCTTATTTATGGCGTTTTTATCTAGAGTGTTAGTCTTTCCTTGTTGTCGATCGAAGTTAAGCAGTTGATAGTTTTTAAATAAACAAAGATAAAAAAAATAATGATGGTATGGAATATCTCCTAGTTATTCTTAAGTGTATACTGTTAAGATTGACATCTACTGTCGTAACCTCTATTGTCTGGCACGTATTGCCTTTTCTATGGAAAGATCTCTCCTTCCTGAATTTGCCGCTTACCAAATAATCACTTAATTAAAATATGGAAGCTTAAAGGGTTCAGGAGTAAATAGTCTGCACCGTTCCATATGAAACAACATTGACCCGATCTGTCCGTAGTAAATTTATGCAAAAGTCTAGCCAATTATTTTCGATTAACACCTTCTGTAGATCGACAAAGTGACATGATTTTGAAACTGTAATTTTAGTACCTTTCTCCCTGTTATTGTTTAAATTTTGTATAGGAGCCAATACCAGCAATACTTTGTTCTCTCTTGTTGTTCCCATTATGTTATTTCTACTGGACAAACCAAGCTTTGAAAGGGCTTAAAGGAGCAATAAAGAAAGAATTTCTTTCAGACAATGTAATTAATTTCAAGGTTGAATGCTAATGAGTCTCTCCTAGCAAATTACAAAAGGCTTACTTAGGTATAGATGAGTTACCATAAATTAATCTAATGACTCATTGACGCCCCCTTTCAAACAAACACCTCTTGCCTCAAGCGCCGTTCTATGATATTATGTTTGCATTAGACGCCCTCGGTAATAAACATCCTTTGTCTAGTAGACGCCCCCATGAAAATTATTTCAAAAATTACAGAAAAGAGCAAAATCATTCAACTTATTCAGTTGCCTGCTTGATTAACAAAGCTTTGAGCGTTGCATCTTAATCAGTGTTTTAAAGTTCCATTTAAAAGTTCGAATTGATTAGAGATATAGAGAATAATACATGGTCGCGCGGAGATATGGAATTTATCTTCGAGTGTTCACATCGATATCGAACGAGTGAGCGCAGCGCCCGGGGGGGGGGCACTTTAGGAATTTCTGGGTGGGGATGAGCCGCTGGGAGCCTGGAACCCTTAACCTTTACCAGAGCTAGTTCAGCTGAATTTTGCTACCCTATACTAGAGTAAACTCCCCAAATCCACCTATCCTAGAGTAGCTGTGTACCTAGTCTAGATAAAATCTTCAACCAACTGATCAGTTTCCTGAAAAATGATACCCTATTCTAGAGCCAAACGCTCTGATTTATATACCCTATCCTAGAGTAAACTGCTTGAAAACCATACCCTTCACAGCGGCTCATACCTATATAGCCCATATATGGCAGTACCCCCC